TCCTGACGTTTCTGCACCCAACTGCGGTGCTCCTCAGCCTGCTGCAGTGAGCAGTGCCCCTCCTCAGCGTGCTGTGTTGAACGGTACTGTCCAAAGGATTGTTGACCTGGTGAAGCAGTTCGGTCGTATACCGATGCGAAAGAAAGGAACGTCCGAGGAAGTACGAGCTGAAAACAAGTTGGCCAAACGTTTCTCCGACCACCGCGACAGCATTCCTATTGACGTTATGTTAGAGTTGCAAGCCCTCGAATGCGCCACGCCTTCAGAGTCAGCCGCTGTCAGCGCTGCCCTTCAGCGTTCTGCATTAAGCGGATCTCTGCAAACGCTCGTCGAGGACGTGAAGCAGTTCGGTCGTATACCGATCAGAAATCATGGAACGTCTGAGGAAGCACGAGCCGAAAACAACTTGGCCAAACGTTTCTTTGAACACCGCGAGGGCATTCCTAGTGACGTGATGTTGGAATTGCAAGACCTCGAGGAGTCACGCGCCGTCAGCGCTGCTGCTCAGCGTGCTGCAGGCGCTGTTGCTCAGCGTGCTGCAACCGAGGAGTTCAAGCGGAAGCAGAAGACCGATGAGATCCTGCAGCAGGTGCGCGAATTCGGCAGCTGGCCGAAGGAGAGCGCTCAACGCCCGCTTGCAGAGCGGCAGTTGGCTTGGCACATCCGAAAAAACACGGAAGGCCAAACATTTCTCACCGGAGCAGGAGGCCGAGCTTCAAACTCTGCAGCGGGCGGATACGAAGCCCGTCGGGCTCATGCAGCAGACGAAGATCGAGGAGGTCATGCAACAGGTGCGAGACCTCGGCCGCTTTCCGAAGGAGTCCGCCGGGAGTAGTGTTGCAGAGCGGCAACTAGGCTGGCTAGTTCGGAAAGCACGGAAGGCCAAGCAGTTCTCCCCGGAGCAGGAGGCCGAGCTCCAGGCCCTACAGCAGTTGGAGACCGATGACACAACAGCGACTCGCATCGCGGAGGCGGAGGCCCTCCCAAACCCCATGGAAGGGTTCGCTGACGAGGCGCAGAACAGGATCGACCAGGACCTGCTGATGCTGGAGAGTGGCATCCGGACCAAGGCAATCCTGCGGCGCCTTGCCGTCTACTAGGAGCTGGTGTCCAGCCGCGGTGCTACTCAGCCCGCGCAGCTCAAAGAATTCGTACAGCGGTACGCGGAGCGGGTGCGCAGGGCGTCGGCCGCTTCCGCGGGGAAGACCTGCTACGTTCCCGGCGGTGAGGTGGAGGGGGGCCAGCTGCGCGTATTCTCCGCCCGCCCCGTCATGACGGGGCCGCTCGTGTGCCAGCTCTGCGAGTGCGACTTTCTTACAGAGGAGGACTTTGCGCGGCGCAAGCAGCAGGGCCACGCGGGCGAGGCGGAATACCGCAAACGGGTGCTGTTCCTGATGGCAGAGGCCGGCTGCAGGCCGATAGCCGCCCAGGAGAAGAGGATCATGGTGCAGTATTTTGCTCACTTCCAGCAGTTCTGTCACCCGGGCAGCAAGGGCAACCGCTTCTCGGGCGGCGAGGCGGTGCCCCGATGCGAGGCAGCCTGCGTAGTCTGTGCGCAGAAAGACTACCTGGAACACCGCCACAAACTGAGCCTGTTTGGGGCAGTGCCGGAGGAGCGTGTCTTTGAGCACTGCGCCGACTCAGCAAGCGATCGCGATGACCTATCCGATGGCGAGGCAGATGCTCCACCCAAGCGTGCTCTGGTGAAGCACCGCGGGGTGTGCTACTTGCAGTCCCCGGAGCTCGTGCAGAAGC